CGCGCTGTTACCAGTCAACACTGTCTAGAGATTTGAACCCCGCTTAAATGACATTACATGCGGCCAGCACTGAGTCACATCCTACAAACCCGCATGCCACTGCGCGCTATGCAGTATTGTGTAACTATTTGCCAGATGCAAAATGCTAGCGCCTTATTCATCTTTGCAGACAAAAATTGGAAAGAAAACTGAAATAACCAACAACATATTGACCTGTTCTCCTCACATAACTATGACCACGGCAAAGCTTGTGAAGGGTCCGATGAAAACGCGTTACTTAGTAACAAAGGACAATGACGATGTATAGTAAGTTGTTTACAAATATTTTGGTTCCCAACGAAAGAGAGGAGAACTGCTGCTGGATATTTTTAGCTCTCCTTTTCATGGGAGCAGTCAGAAATTCTTGCAAATCCTGTGTAGATATCCCAGAGCTAGACATCAGAACAAGAGTCAGAGAACAAGCTCGTTTTCGGTGGATCTCCTCAGGCTGGTACACCACAACTAATAAGAGGAAAATGAATTAAAACACCAGACGGGAGTAAAATTCAAAAGGTAAGATTAAAAGGTCCCGTGCTTGGTTCACAAACGATCAATGGCATGTCAGCTGTATGTTTCTCAGCAGGGGTTACTGTAATAGGGGGCCAGGGAAGAGAGAGAATCTGAACGAATTGTTTTTGTGCACATAGGTCTGGGTTCTGGAGGCGGATGGCGATCGCTTCGGCTATTGCTAATAAGCGACATCTTACTGCTCGTGTGAAGCATCCAGATACGCGGTAAATTGGCTGAAAACTTTGGAGCATAGCCATCCGGTGGTTAAAATCAACTAGATGTGCTAACACGGCGCTTTTCACAGTCTTAGTTCCACCTGTAGATAGCCAACTCGGGCAATGCTTACGGATTCTCTCAGACAGTTTCCTGGTTGTTCTTCCGATATAACTTGCTCGACAAACTGGACGCAGATGAACGCAAGCGATTCGAGACATTTGTTCAACAAATAATCACAAAGTAACAAGAAAAGCGTCTAGCGTCAATACAGCGACAAGTTGATACGACTAAGGCAAACATTTTGCCACCCTACCCGGAAAAGTACGTTCGCAATTTTTCCTCGTTGCATCTGGATAATACACTGTTAGAGGTACTTACACCTGGTCCGAAGTTTTGCTGTCCCCGTAGTTACTCAGGACAACTAGAATTAGAGGTTCAGTTCGAAAGTTTGTATTCGCAAGTGTCTACCCTTACGCCCTCGTCAGCATTAGCGTCCGAGCATTTTAAATCTACCCTGGTTAATACATGTTATCAGTATCTGAGGCACAAACCCAAACTCAGATACTTGCTGAAGAAAGATCACCTAGACGCACTCAAAACACTCAAACAAAACGAGAATGTGCTACTCTCCAGGCCGGATAAAGAGGCAGGGATGGTTCTGATGGAGGAATCTGACTATATTGACAAGATGGAGGTCATCCTCAGCGATCGCGCAAAGTTTCGTAAAATGGAGAATGAGAGGGACAAAACAGCGGCAATAGAAAAGACAGTTACTAGGCTTCTGCGACAACTGAAACAAGAAAACTCGATTGACTCTACCACTTTGGAACAACTTCGCCCCACGGGGACGGTAATTCCGAGACTTTATGGCCTGCCAAAGGCACATAAGGAGGGGCTGCCACTTAGACCTATACTGCACATGTGCAACTCACCTTACCACGCAACAGCCAAGTAGCTAGCCAAGCTTTTACAAGCAGTGAGAAAAGCTTTATCCGTGTATAGTCTCCGTGATACATTCAGCTTTTTAGACAGTATAAAACCTCTTAACCTAACCGGAAGAAGATGTTTTCGTTGGACGTTGTGTCTCTCTCCACGAATGTTCCTTTGGAAGAAACAATAGACTATTTGTGCGACACCATTCGAGCACAATAGTTGAACGTCTGCTTGTCGAACAATTGGTTGAAACAGCTACTCATGCTGTGTACTAGTAACATACAATTTCAGTTTAATGGGGTAATATACAGACAAAAAGACGGAGTAGCAATGGACTCACCGCTAGGACCGCTGCTGGCAGATGTATTCGTGAGCAAATTATGAAAGAACTACCTGAGCGAAGTCATTAGCGTATTACTCTATTATGGCCGATATGTTGATGATATATTTTGTATAACAGGCAGTCATTGCTGCACAGAGCAAATCCTATCTCTTTTAATTCAGCGCACGACAACGCTAAGTTTACCTTGGAATCTGAACGTCATGGTACGATGTCTTTCCTAGACGTCCAAATTAGCAGAAGATCAGATGGGTCGATCCAACGCAGAGTGTACAGAAAAGCCACGTGGAATGGACAATACAGACATTTTGCCAGCTTTGTCCCACTAAGTCAGAAGTGCAACTTGATTAGATGTTTAAGCGAAATGGCAAGAAGGATATGTAGTGAGGACACGCTCTCGGACGAGCTGAATTACTTAGCTGGCCTTTTTGAGAGAAACGGCTATCCCGAAAAGTTTGTTCGAAAAAATATGGAGTGCCGCGAATCGAGGGCTAAAACCAATTCGGTTTAAAAGAAATTGGTTTATCTGTCGTTTCCGTTCAGAGGGGATGGAATAGCTCAGGCAACGTCTAGAAGGCTATCCGACGCCATAAACAGTACGTGCTACGCTGCAAGCCTACGACTAGGAATAACTATAAAACCAATCGTAAAGTTTCAACTCAAGGACAGACTTCCTCGGTAAAGTACTTCTTTCTGTGTATACTCATTTACTTTTTCATGTCCAGCAAGTTATATCGGAAGAACAACCAGGAAACTGTCTGAGAGAATCCGTGAGCATTGCCCGAGTTGGCTATCTACAGGTGGAACTAAGACTGTGAAAAGCGCCGTGTTAGCACATCTAGTTGATTTTAACCACCGGATGGCTATGCTCCAAAGTTTTCAGCCAATTTACCGCGTATCTGGATGCTTCACACGAGCAGTAAGATGTCGCTTATTAGCAATAGCCGAAGCGATCGCCATCCGCCTCCAGAACCCAGACCTATGTGCACAAAAACAATTCGTTCAGATTCTCTCTCTTCCCTGGCCCCCTATTACAGTAACCCCTGCTGAGAAACATACAGCTGACATGCCATTGATCGTTTGTGAACCAAGCACGGGACCTTTTAATCTTACCTTTTGAATTTTACTCCCGTCTGGTGTTTTAATTCATTTTCCTCTTATTAGTTGTGGTGTACCAGCCTGAGGAGATCCACCGAAAACGAGCTTGTTCACTCACCCTTGTTCTGAAATTCTGTGTAATTTGTTAATATTTAATATTTTGCATTTAGCGTCCTTGTCTGTCCTGATATAGCTAACATGAAGTAAACCATTTTTGAAGTCGAATATTCCGACAATGGTTTTGGTTTTGAATGTTTTGCTCATGCTTGCAACAGCTGAGTACTGTGATGCTCAAATATTTACGTTAAAATAAAACACAAAGAGAAGAACAGTTGTGCAGCATCGTTTTTAAATAATCAAATGAAACTATCATTCATGCCTGTGTCTAAACTGAGCAGATGAGATCCAGTTATTTCAAAATAAGGAACGGTTTATTTTAAATAATTAGTATTATGGGAGCACCTCGGATAGTCATCTCCATGCCGGTGCTGTACACTGATTCTAAAACTACATTATTCATTGGTAGTGTTAAATGAATTAAAACGTAATTTTATAAAAGCACTATCTCTTTGTCATTAGTGTCGATAATATAACTTGCTGTTATAAAGTAGACAAATTATCTAAATTAGTCACTTCAACCAGCCTAAAATGCCAACCTTAGTATGCTTCTTCAAGCACATTTTGTCTGCTTTCCTCAGCGAATTTTTGTCAGGCTACGCTCTTCGTACTAGGTTTATTCAGTACGAAAAGATTAACCAATTCTGTGTGCGTTTTGAAACATTGATTCGACTACCTGATTTTTTGACTTGTCAGAATGAGCATGAACACTTGCGCCTAACAGCTGCACGTAATTGATTAGATTAAAATGAAACACCCTGGGTGACGAAGATCCGTTTCTATGCCTGTCTCTTGCCTTAGGAAAGCCGGATACCTATAGTCGCTATGGTTGCTTTATTCATATACCATACAAGGCACTTTTGTGCAATTTAGCAATTTTAGTAGATTAAGTGCCGAAATTCAGTTCGGGACGGACCACAGTCTGTCGAAAGATTGGTTATCACGCGCAATGTATGTACTGTCTAACACTTCAAACACGTCTGCGTTGCGTGATTGTTTATCTCTGGGATCAATGAATTTAACTTCAAAAGATCCATGTTAGAAAACTGAGGAAACATTCTTTTTGGTGCCAAATTAGTAACTCTCAAACAAGACACACTGACTTATTTTTCACAGAGGTGTGAAAAAAGCAGCTAAAAACGTGTACTTCCATCAAAAAGAATACCCAAACAAGTATACAGGCTTGTTTCTCCAATAGGCTATAGCTGGAATATTTTAATGCCCCGAATATGTCGCTTGCTTTACTTCGGTGAAGCATGTGGTTAAGATGCTAGCCGAACAAAAGTGTCAGCTTGATGTGCGGTGATGACACCGTTAAACTGATGTCTATTTAGTCGGCCTTAAACAAGAATCAAAAAGACAATAAAACGCCAAGTCCTTTACAAGTATGCTCGTTCTATTCACTGATTTATTGTAGGTACCCTAAATTTATTCAGTCGACCATAATAGCGGATGGAAATGTGAGAATGAAAAACCCTAGTTCTAGCAAACCAGCGAATACCAGCAATTGTCTGACAAAACAGAATTATTTAGAATCGTTCGGAACCAATGACCCGTGCAAATTCAGTTATAAATAGCATAGTGGTTAGAGTTGTTACATAAAAGAAAACAATTCCCTCTGGTGCTACAAAATTACAACATAGGAATTTTTCTTATGAATGGTGCATGACTTTCCATGGACCAATACACACAAACCATTTTATGTCCCAATATAAAAAGAGCTGGTGAAATGTCATAGGTGACTCACTTTCACACTTTTCCACCATATTGTCACAGGAAAGGTTCGCAAGCCAGGTTTGCTCCAACTGCGTTAAATCACGAGTTTTCCTTTCAAGAACTCGTTGACAGTGTAAGGAGGAGTTTGAATCCTGATAGACATCCCATATGTTTGGACAGTTCTTTATGTACGTATACGTGTCGAAGCGCTGCTGTTTCACCTTGGGTAAATTCCAGTCCCAGTGGCTTGAAACAAATAAATCCAACAAGATAACGCATAGAAAGGAAGTCACCAACAAAGCGGCTGCTGCGCTTCTCAAAAACATTTGCCCAGATGAGGCAGGTTTTGGTTCATTTGAAGCGTAAAATTTTGGTTTGAGTGCAAAACGTGTGATTTTGCTATTCGTTTCCTGCGAATTCATGTGACCATCAATGACAGTATGGAAATGCAGGACATGGTACACAGAAGGAAATGGGGTCAATATTTCTCCATATTCATTGGGTTTTACTCGGCGAGGTGGAATTGTACGTACTGCTTGACAGACTCCTTTTGGATTGTGGTTTTTCCCTGGATGAAAGAGAAGTGGCATTCGGATTTCGGTGCTGTTAATCACTGCTTATTTTTAAGGCGTAACTCTCTTCAGTTTGAGTAATCCAGCATCTGAAGTATAGGCTAACAATCGTTTGCGATGCGACCAGGCGAATCATGTAGATTAAACTGCTGGCCACCATAGTTTCGTATTTGAGAGAATTCCTTTGCAGCCCAGACATTGTGTTCAAGCATTTGATCCAGCCGACCAGCTGAATGTGCATTAGAGCCCTAGAAATGGTAAATTAATGCAGTAACTACATTTCCTAATTAGCTGAAGGATTTTTATGCAACATGTGTTTGAAGAATAAATGATAGCGACATGTAAAAGCATACCGTTGCCGAACATGTTTGATTATTACAAATAAAAACTTGTAAAACGGAAGCATTTAACAGAAACAGCAGCCGTAGTCGAGTGATCAAAACAGCGCATCTGCTTTAATGTTGTTTGAGTTGACAAATGCAGTGAGGATACGGATTGGCACAACGCTGCAGAAATGTTTTCTAACTCCTTTGTTATCGAAGGTATCAGTATTGCAAACCGTGTTCATGTCCACGTCCGACTGTTTATCCCTACACATTCTTTGCTTTTTAAATGAAATACCATCCTACTAACCATAGATTCAATCCAAACACAAGCAGTTTGTTTGTACGAAACTGTCCGTTCGTAGTATTCTGGAAATTTTCTAGATTTGGCTGAGTACGTTGGGTAAAACCCGGATAAAAATTGCTATTATATTGTGCGTTTACGCTACCGATGAAGAATGCTGAATGGCATGTAGAATTCATTGGTTTGATTCCAGCAACGCCTTTTACGAAGCATCTCGGCAGGTCTATATCGAGCCGCCGCCTTTGGGTATCCATCTGTCTTCGGGAATCAAACACGATTCCGCACATCGATTTTGCGCTCATCGTTATTGTGCAGTTTCCCCTCTTCAGCCTTAGACAGCACATTTAGCCTACACTCATTCGGATCGCGCTAATTTGCTCTATCCTCTGAGTCCTCTTGCGAAGAAATATTTTCTACGGATCACGGTTCCAGAAATTCGAGCTGTTTTTACAGCTTTTGTATGAAAACTTAGGAGAAAACTTATCGCATTGTGGTTACTCAATCAACGGCCTTACTGCGTTCTATACAGCGACCTCTGGGGCGTCCAATAAACTCCGATTTGCTCATATATGGTTTATCAAAGCGGCTAGGGGACAATTTGCGATCCATTATTTGACCATCATTCAAATCTAGCTTCGCACACATCCAGCCTATTCTCCATTTTCCTGGCAAACCGCTCAAGCCGATCATTCAGACGATTGATCTGTCTCGCCAAATGTGTGTACATGCGCGTAACCGACCGTCATCATCATCATCATCATCATCATCATCATCATCATCATCAACAGCAGTACATCAGCCATTTGAAATGATGCTTCGCTGCCATACAACCATGAGGACCTATGAAATAAAGAATAAGAAGAGGGAGAGAAGGAGGACTTACTTGAGAACCTTAATTCCCTAAGCAAACATTCAGGGTCAAGGCGCCTACACCTTGTGTTAACAACATACCGTCACAAACAGCTGGCTATCGTGCAAAGATAAGGCGGCATCGGCGAGACAGCTTCCTTGCGGCTTTCACTGCCACGCGTCATAATCAGCCATTACCCCGCAGATAACTCAGCACCAAACACACTTTAAACAGACAATCCGATTAGGAGACGGCAGCAGACGCGCCACTGGTGTCGGTTGCGAGCCATGTCCTGTAAAGTCTCGAGCCAAGCACAAGGTGAGTCACGTGGACTCCAACCCGGAAGGCTAGACGGACCAACGGCACCCAGTTTGGTCGTCAGTGACTTCATTTCCCGCTGCCAAGTCAACTTCTGTCCACCTCGAGCCTTGCGCCATCCGACACCTGGTAGACTGAACAAGGCCCTCCTAGGTAAGCGGTGACCAGGCATGCGTAGCACGTGCCCGAGCCAACGTAACTTATTCAGTGCTATCTGTTGTTCTAGGGAGCTAGCATGATCATCACCCCCTAGTACTCGCCTACGCACATCATCGTTGCGGATACGCTGGTGCCATCCGACACCAGCAATGCTTCGCAAACAACGATGATCAAAGACTTGAAGGCGCCTCAGATCTTCAGACCGAAGGGGCCAAGTTTCACTACCATACAGCAGAACGGCCCTCACTGTGGCGTTGTATACACGGCCTTTCAGACGGAGGGAAACTCCCTTCTGCCGCAAAAGATGACGCAGGTTCAAGAAGGCAGCTCTGGCCTTTGCAATGCGTGAGCTAGCGTCAGTTTTTATGCGCCCATCATTGCTGATGCAGCTGCCAAGATAAGTGAATTGATCAACCACATCGAGTTCCTCGTTAGCAAGCGTCAAGGGGTCATCGAGTGGCTGGTGGTCCTGCAGCAACACTTTGCACTTTGAAGGTGCGAAGTGCATACCAAATAATGGGACCACTCTGGATAGGCTATTCAGGGTTGATTGTGCCGCCTCAACATTGTCGAAAAGCAAGACGATATCGTCCGCATAATCTAGATCAACTAACCGTTCACCAGGCAGCACTTCAACACCTACATCGTGAGATTCCGCAAGGGAACACTCCATGATAGAATCCACGACGAAATTGAACAAAAACGGGGAAATCGGGCAACCCTGACGAACGCCACTTGTAGTCGAAAAGCTATCCGATAGGGCACCATAGACCCTGACGCGGCCGCTAGTGTTCGAGTATAGAGCACGAAGGATGTTCACATATTTCATGGGAACACCTTTCCGCGCAAGTATTTCGAACAGAATCGATCGATCGACTGAATCGAACGCACTCTTGAAATCGAGGAACACAGCTATTGTCGGTCTGCGGTATGCGTGGCGCTGCTCTAGCACCTGCCGCAAAGTAAATATATGGTCTATACAGCCACGTCCTGGGCGAAAACCTGCCTGCTCTTCTCTAATCCGAGATTCCCGTTCTGCAGTGAGGCGACGAACGATAATCGAGGCCAGTAATTTTGTCACAACTGGCGTTAGGCTAATACCCCTGTGGTTCGCACAGTCTGTGCGACTGCCCTTCTTGTATATTGCCACTATAATCGATTCGCTCCAATTAGCTGGCACACTCTCTTCGTTCCAGATACGTTCGAATAGGGAGGTCAGTGCTTTGCAGAGGACCTCACCACCATCCTTAAATAGTGCAGGTGGTAGGGAATCCGGGCCAGCGGCACGAAAACGATTAAGGGCTGTGATCGCGTTTCGGACTTCGGCCTCCGACGGAGGCTCTAAACTAACCGTCCATGGCTCGTCCTGCATCACCTGAGTAGGAAGAGGTCCGGGAGCAGGGGGCCAGCTGAACTGTTGTTCAAAGTGCTCAGCCCAACGAGCCATACGGCGCTGCTTATTGTGTATCAGCGCACCCGCGCTGTCCCTGATTGTCTCACTGACGCCTGGTTTTCTCGGCCCAGTGGTGCGTATTAGCTGGAAGAGCTTGCGGTAATTGCCTACTGCTCCTGCCTCCTCCATTTCTTGAGCCCGACTGGTCCACCAGGCTTCCTTGTCAGCACGTAGGCTCCGCTTTAGTTCACGCCTAATAGACCGTCTGGTCACATTGTGTTCAGAACCAGCCGGGAGGTGCCTTCTAGCTTCCAAAAGGTTCACGGACCTCTCGGATATCCAGTGACTGGTGCGATGACGACTGAGAGTCCCACAAGCAGATGCTCCTGCTTCGTACATAGTGGCCGAGATCTTATTCCACTGAAGTTCAGTATCATTAGGACAAGACAGCGAGAGTTGGCTATGCAGTACTTCTTGATAGGCTTGCCTGACAAAGGGTTGGGACAATTTCTCCGTTGCCAATCGGGGGAGACGCTTTGTGCGCCTTCCGGTAAAGTTCATGGAGAAACGACAGAGCACCAAGGCATGGTCAGAGTCGACACAGGTACTCCAGTACGAGCGGCAATCCAGAATGGAACCGCGTCACCTGTAACTTATGGCTATGTGGTCAATTTGGGTCCATAGCTGACCAGCTACAGGTGGACGCCAAGTGGCACTTCGGCGCCCACTGTGTCTAAAAGCAGTGCTAGTAAGAAACAACTGGTGCTCCGCACACAGTTGCAGCAGACGCTCGCCGTTGTCAGTCCGTTCGGAGTTAAGTCCATACTTACCACCCAGCTGAGCTTCTGAAGAGCTCAGACGCCCTACTTGTGCGTTCATATCCCCTGCAAGTACTATAATATCTGAAATAGTAGCACTGCGTAGCAGCGTGTTTAGTTCGTGATAGAAAGTGTCCTTGACTGCGTTAGAACTGCAGTCGGTGGGAGCATACGCGGAAATCACAAACAAACAGCGTTTTGTTTTACTTCGCGAATTCACCTTAGCTGATGTCGTCAAACGGGCTGCACATAAACGACTGTTCACCGGAATCCAATCAACCAACGATAACTCAGCCTTGGAGCTGAGAATGATACCTACACCAGCTTGACCCGTGAGTGCCGCATCGGCGTCTCCGGATGCGTGCAACCAATAACGAGAGGATAAGCCGGGTGCAGTTAATTCAATAACCCCGTTAGGGTCATTAATCCTAGTTTCGGACACACAACATACATCAACACCCAGTGTGTCCAAGGTGCGTGCGAGTGCAGCCTGCTGACCTGTTTGTCTTGGAGTGCGGACTTTGAAGGTCGCCATGGAAACGGGACAACGTGGTCTTATAAGGGACTTTTGCCGATAGGCGTCCGATAGGTGCTGTGGGATGGTGGCTGCAGATGGTACTACTCCAGTAGCACTTCGGTTGCTGTCACTTAAGTTGGGAATTAAAGAAGGAAGGTTAGTAATGGGGGCCGGGATGGGAGTAAGAGAAAAGGTGGAAAAGAAAGAAGGGAGGCGCCAGCAGTAGCATGCTTTCGCTTATCCGCCCTGCTGTATGTAGCAAATAAGGCGACCCTTGATAATGTGCGCGACGGCCGATGCAGGATGAAGTTTATGTTCGAAGAAAATGTCATGGTTGTATGTGGGCTGGGATACTGCCAGGGCGCCCAGACCTAGACAGGAGAACGATTAGGGTCCTCATCCAAAGCCTTTGGCTCAAAAGCCTGTCCGCAAGGCAGCGGGGTGGCAGTGATTTAGTTTTACAGAAATAAACGCCATCCCATTTCAAACCCCCAACCTGGAGGACCAGGAGACTGAGTTTGTCTGACCTCTCACCATTGACCAACCTGGTAGGAGTAGC